CTATTCCTTGGAAAAGGACATGATGCTGGGAAGGGTGGAGGATTGATGAAGGAGTAAAAGACTCTCAACCAGCTGAATGGACACAGTGACTGTCATATTCGGCTCTTGTTTGCTAGAAAGTGTGAGGGTGGTACAGGATAGAAGAGGGTTCAGATCTTTTGTTCATCGTGTCACTGTGAGTCATACTTGACTCGATGGCACCTAACAACAACAACTACAACATTTTATTTAAACCATTCCAACTGATACAACCCACTTATTTCTGCTGAGTCTATTTGAAATTTTAGCAACCCTATAGAAAAAAGTAGAACAGACTAGACAGGCTGTAAATCTTATGGAAGTAGATTGCCACATCTTTTCTGAGTGAAGCAGCTGGCAATTTCAAAGCTCTGCCCTTTCCATTAACAGTCAAGCTTTTAACCACTGTATCACTAGGAATCTTCTTATAACTGTAGCTATTTAGATAGTTAGCTATATGTTGATTCAAATATATATTCAAATAATTATATATAGAGATATTTATATTTATATGTCTATCTCATCTATCTATCTATCTATCTATCTATCCATCTATCTATCTTGTTGTTATGTTCTGCCACATCAGAACTGACTCATATCTGACCCTCCAGCAGGCTTTGACAGGAAGTTGATTGCACGGGAAGAGATTGCCTAGTGTTCTTCCAAGGAGTAGCTAGTTGATTCAAATCATATGTTTTTGGGATTACGGCACAGTTTCTTATCACTATCTGTATCTATCCATATATATCGATAGAGATATATAGGTACAGGTATATAGATAGAGTTTAAAATCACAAATGATATTATAAAGTTGGTGTTGCTTTAATTAATATTATACTTATATTTTACAACACTACTGCAATATAATTAACATACAATTAGAAATGCATAGTGAAAATGTAAAACTGAATAAATTTTGACATGATAAATACTTAAGAAACTATCATCATAATCAAAATAACAAACCTACTCATTATTCCCAGTCGTGTCTTTATCATTTCTTCCTTTAACTATTCCTTTTTCTCATTGTATCCCTAAGCAATCATTGCTTTGCCTCTGTCTATTGTTTGCAATTACTACAATTTTGTATAAATGGAACTATGCACTGTACACTCTGTGTTATTTAATACTTCTTTCTCTAATCTTAAGATTCATTCGTGCTGATCTATGTATTATCATTGATACATTCCTTTTATGGCCAAGTATTGTTCTTTTCCATGGATGAGCCACAATTTGTCTATTAACTAATTGATGGATATTTATATTTTTTCCAGTTTGGGTTCCTTGCAAATTAAGCTAAGAAAATACCTGTATAAATCTTTGTATTTAAAAAAAAAGAAAACAAAAGTAAAATTTAAAAAACCCAACACAAAAAGTGACTTTATAGAGAGACCTCACCTGATGTATTGTACAGGAATCAGATTGACTATAATTGCAGAAAGAATGTGGGAGAAGCACAATATCTAGTCAAAGCCAGACCAGGTGCTGATTATAGAACAGACTGTCAATGAATCATGTTTAAATTGAAGCTGAAGAAAATTAAAACTAGTCCACAGGAACAAAAATATGGCATGGAGTCTATTCAAGTTGAACTTAAGAATCATCTCAAGCACCAATCATCAAAGACTGGAGGAACTATGGGAAGACTATGCTATCAAAGATAGCATCTATGAAGAAGGCAAAAGGTCATTACAAAGGAAGAGGAGAAAGAAAGAACCAAAATGGCTATCAGAAGAGACTATAAAAACAAAAGGAAGAGATACCAGAGTAAAAGAGCTAAAAAAAAAAAAAAAAACAGAACCCAATTATAATGAAATGTGCAAAGAGCTGGAGGCAGAGAATCTAAAATTCTGACCACATGTTTATCAAGCTGAAAGAACTGAAAAACAAATTCAAGCCCTGAGTTACAATACTTAGAGAAACTATGGGCACATTCTTGAATGAAGATGGAAGGAATACACAGAATTGATGCCTAAGAAATAGTTGACACTGAAAATTTTCAGGAAATACCACATAAATAACATACAATGATAATGAAGAATGAATTTTAAGTTGCATTGAGGGCATTAACAAAAAAATAAGGCCCAAGTAATCAGTGGAATACCAGTTGACATATTTCTACTAATAGATGCATCTCTGGATGTGTTCACCAGTTTATGCCAGGAAATTTGGAGGACAGCTACCCATGTGACAGAAACAGATCTGTGTTTGTCTCCATTCCCAAGAAAGTTGATCCAATAGAACTTGGATATTGTCAATGTCATTAATATTTCATCCAAGGAAAATATTGAAGAAAATTAAATTGACAGAGAACTACCAGAAGTTCAAACTGGACTTAGAAGAGGCCATAGCACCCAAGATATCATTGCTAAAGTCAAATGGACCCTGGCTGAAATCAGAGAATACCAGAATAATTTCTATTTGTTTTTATTGACTATGCAAAGGCATTTGACCATGTAGATCATAACAAACTATGGCTAACATTGAAAAGAATGGGAATACAAGAAAACCTAAAATTGTGCTAATATGAAGTCGATACCTACAACAAAACGCTGTTGTCTGAATAGAGCAAAGGAATACTGCACGCAGGAAGGATGTTCATCAGAGTTGTAGCTTTTTTCCCCCATATCTATTCAGTCTGTATGCTGAGCAAATAATTCATGAAGCTGGACTCCATGAAGAAGAAAGTTGTATCAGGATTTAAGGAAGACTCATCAATAACTGGCATTATGAAGATGTCACACCTTGCTTGCTGAAAGTGAGGATGATATTAAACACTTGCTGCAGAAGATCAAGCACTAAACCTTTGGCATGTTTTACATTTAAACATCAAGAAAACAAAGATCTGAATGGAATTCCGAAATCTCTGTAGATGTTTATTGAAATTAAAAAAAAGAAAACAAAGATCTTCACCACAACACCAACAGTCAACCTTATGATACATGAGGAAAGGATTGAAGCTGTAAATGATTTCATCTTGAGTCAACAATCAACACCTTTAGTAGCAGCAGTCAGGAAATCAAGAGACATAGTGCATTGGGCAAGTCCACTGTCAGGAATCTCTCCAAAATGGTGGAGAGCAAAGATGTCAGTTTGAAGACTTAAGATGTTCCTGATTGAAGCCATGGCTTTCTCAATTACCTGCAGTGCATCAGAGAGCCGTATAATGAATAAGGAAGACAAAAGAATTGATGGTTTTAAGTTGTGCTGCTGGAGAAGAGCATTGAATATTCTTTGGACTACCAAAAGAACAAACAGGTATGTCTTGGTGTAGCCAGAGTGCTCCTCAAAGGCAAAGATGGTGAAGCATCATCTTTCATACTTTGGACATGTAGTTAGGCAAAGCTATCCCTTGGAAAGGGACATCACTCTTGGAAAGATAGAGTCAGGGAAGGAGAGGAAGATCCCAACACAATGGATTGACATGATGACTTCAGCAAGGGTGTCTAGTGTGTCAGAGATGATGAGGATGCCAGAGGACAGGGTAGAATCTAGTCTGTTGTTCACTGGGTCACTGTGAGTCATTCTGGACCCAATGGTGCCTAACAACATAAAAATATGCTTTTATTTCTCATATATAAATTACCAAGAATAGAATGGATAGATGACATTTTACGTGTCCTTAACTCTTTAAGAAAATGCAAACTTTTTTCACAGAGGTTGTATTATTTCTTTTTTTTTTTTTTCAGAGTCCTAGTTACTCTGTATCCTTTCAAACACTGGGTATGATGAGTCTCTCTAGTTTTACACTTTCTAATAGTTATGCTATGGTACTGCATTGTTATTTTAACTTGTATATCTACAGTGACTGATGATGTTCAACATCATTTCATGAAATTATTTGCCACTAATATACCTTCTTTGGTGAAAAATCTGTTCCAATAGTTTGCTTAGTTCTTATAAAAGTTTGACTGCTTCTTCTTTTTTAAATTATAGAGTACCAAGATCAATTTACGTATTATAGATGCAAAGTGTTTAAGTATTTTCTCTTAGTCTTTGGCTTATTTTTGTATTCTCTTAGCAAATTTATAAACATTTACTTCATGAATCTATTTTTAATAATATATAAAAGGACTCTGCATAACTCAAAGGCACAGATATTTTTTCCCTTGTGTTTTCTACCAGAAACTTTATAGGTTTAGGTTTTATAAATTTAGGTCTATGATTCACTTCATACTAATTTTTGTATATAATACAATATGTGCATCAAAGTTCATTTTTTTGCATTTGCATATGTAATTGTTCTAGCACCATCTGATGAAAAGACTATTTTTTTGTTAATGAAATGGACTTTGAACTTTGTAAAAAATTAACTGTGTCTGTTGTTAGGTGCCATCGAGTTAAGTATGACTCATAGCAACTCTATAAACAAAAGACCTAAACCCTGTTCTGTCCTGTGCTATCCTTATCGACTC